GCACGCTGTCATTGCATTTCCCTGGGCCAGCCATGAATGCCGGACTGCTGTATTTGAATATGGGCTTTGCACAGATGAGGCAGGCAGCCACACCAGCTCAAGACCTGGCACTCCCATGCTCTTCAGGGGTTCTGGTTTCCCACTTTCCTGGGGAGTCCAGGGTTTGGACGTGTGACTCCACTGAGTCACAGGCACAGGCAGAAATAGCCTGAGATGCTACGCTGCTGGGGATCCCTGAGGAAGTGGTCCTCCAAGAGCTTATGCATATATGTATGTATGTACATACGTATATATGTACTGGGGACCGAACTCAGGACCTTGCGCTTATCAGGCAGGCGCTTAAACCACTGGGCCATCTCCCCAACTCCCGCCACCCTTATTTTATTTTATTTTTTTTAAAGACAAGGTCCTGCCGTGTAGCCCAGGCTGGACTCAAAAATCACAGCAATCCTCCTGCCTCAGACCCTCCAGGACTGGGATTATAGGCATGTGTCACCACACCAGGCCAGCCTTTCTATGAGTCTATACTGAGCTAGGAAGAAGAAAATATTTTGTCCATGAACTTCAGGCTTAATAAATATGGCTTTAAAACAAGGGATAGGGTTGGGGAGACTGCTCAGTAGAATAAGCTCTTGCCTGGCAAGTTCAAGGTCCTGAGTTCAATCCCTGGTACTGCAAAACAATTTTAAAAATAAAATAAAACAAGGGATACATTACAGGTCTCAGTAAAGACATACCTCTTCATCCAACACCATTGGTGCCCAATGTGTTCTGTTTTGTTTTGTTTTGTTAAAGTACTTAGGGCAGGGTCTACAGGGTCTCACTACACAGATCGGACTCGTAGTGATTCTCCTGTTTTCAGCCTCCCAAGCGCTGGGGTTACAGATGTGCACCATCACGCCCAATCTCATTGAATGGGCTCAGTGCACCCCAGGGGTGGGGCCAGCACAGCTCGGAGCTCTGCTTAAGGAGGCGCTTTAGTCCACTGTCAATGTGTTTTGCTATCCCGGTACTTCTGTGTTCAGAAAGGCCATATAGCTCATGTTCTGTATGTTATATAACTAACACACACACACACACACACACACACACACACACACACACACACGAACGCACACATGCATGAACGCACACGCATACACCCTGGCTAGGCGATTCACCATAATTTAGCTTTAGTATTTCTTTTTTTTTTTTAAATATTTGGTACAGGGTCTACAGGTTCTACAGGGTCTCACTGCACAGACTGGACTTCTAGTGATCCTCCTATTTTCAGCTTCCCAAGTGCTGGGATTACAGGTGCGCGCCACCATGCCCAGTGTCTAAGTTTAGTATTTCTGCAGCTCAAACACTCAAACAATCCCACTACCCGGGACACACCAAGACTATCAAAAGAGTGATACTTTTTCTCATCATTTCACTCTGTAGCAAGTAGCACCAAATTTCAAAAAAACTTTGAGAGATTGTAGAAGCCTAACAACTTTGTCAGGAATCTGACTCGATGGCAACTTACCCAGGCCTGAGGAGGAGGACACGCTCTCCGTCAGGGATGATGTTTCTGTTTGGTCTGCCGAGAGCCCCTCCATCAGAGGCAGAGAGAGCTCAG